CAATGTTCTTATTCTAACAATATTAAATGTAGCCTGATATATCCTAGAAAACATCAAGGTACATTATTTTTGTTAAAATGTGTATGTTTATACACAGTTACATCCAGTGGAATGCCAGTGTTATTTGACAGTGACAGGTGACACAGAGGGGTTTGCTAAACAGATGATAGAACAAATATGATAAAATTCTAGCATAATTCTCACCTTTAGAATGCTGCCTGATCATATTTTGAAACATCTTCTGATGTCTTCTTATTTTTCCAGCAGTGATCAACAGCGTCTCAAAAAAACTACCCTTGTTTACCTCAAAGTAATCAGCCTTGAGAGTCCCTTACGATATTGAAATTTGTTAATAAACATGTTTGATAAGTTCATTTTAGTGCTCTAAAACATTCCAAATAGTAATGAATCATGGTATAGTTGTGTAAATGTGACGAATAGTTTTCAGAGATATTACTTTACGCCAATGTTTATTTTTGAGATGTTGTATGGGGCAATTGAATACAACAGAAAAAATGTACTTTTTTAAACATTTTGATATGAGCAAAAGCGTGACCCACCACAATTTTTTAGGAATGCATTCTAATTTACTCTCTTCGTGTGTGGTGACAAAATTGGGATGGGTCAAGCTTTTGCTCACACTTTTTTATCACTCTGAAAATATGAAAATGCAGGTTTTTCGAAGATATTGTAAAATAAGTTAACTTTGAGGTCTTCAAAGAGGAAAAAAACAGCACTAAAACGTATAAAAAAACCATATGGAGGTAATTTCAACAATTTATTTAGCATTTTATGCTAAAATTATCATGTTGTAAAACTTTGAATATCATGAAATTTTGTGGGCCAAAAAGGGCCTTTATCATACCTTGTCCTTTATTGGCTATTTCACAGTGAAACTGCAACGAACTGCGAGAAAACGTGTATGAGCTTAAGACACTCGTCGCCAAAAACAAAATTCAACCCTAAATAATAGCTTTTCAAGAAACAAAATTATCGCCACAATCCGCCTTTGAAATTCCAGGCTACAATTTCATTCGGCAAGATAGGCCGCGTCCACAAAGTAAGCCCCGACCACAATGGATCCCTGGACACAGAGAAATTGTCAAAATTCCAAATAATCGAATCTGGACCAGACAATCCAGTGAATGACATCCTGACACAAATGGCCATGGGATACGACAAGCACCGATCTAATCTCTGAATACTAATACTGGTTTAAGAGAACATGCTAGTTATATGTTTATATCCGTGATTTTTTTACTACCGTTAGTTGACTTTATATTAAACATATGTCTCTCATACGATATCCCCGTAACGATATGGCAGAAATACTGCCGATGTGACTTTAAATTTTAACTCGCACGCTCACAACCCCGGCAATCAATTCGTGTACAGCTTGTCAACTCTGTCCAAGCCACATCGGTATCACAGCCTCACAGACCACGGCACCTGTGTACACTCTGTCCAAGTTTTATAACACGGCTAAAGCCGCTTCACCATCAGCTTGTCGTCCGCCGTAAATTGGAGCGACGGTAGTGCACGGACTTCACGTGGTTGAAACTGACACGGCACACTGGGAGATACATCATGACTGACATCTTTGCTCCGAACGTATACCTATGCATGTCCCTCAATCAGTAATACTCTGACATTGAAATTTGAGTTAAGCTCTTTGAAAATGAGACCTGTAGATAAATATATGTTTTTGTTAGTGCCCAACGCCGCACTCAGCAATATTCGAACTATATGGCGGATACATATATGTATTCAGGCTTTTCATGATTTTCTTACTGACAGACGTTGTCTGTTGTCTCTAAAGTTTCTTTGAACAGTGGGCAACAGTAATACTTACTCCGGGGTAGAATAGGTCTTAAGCAACCCATTCTTGTCATAAAAGGCGACTATGCTTGTCGTAAAAGGCGACTGACGGGATCGGGTGGTCAGGCTCGCTGACTTTGTTAACACAACATGTCATCGGTTCCCAATTGCGCAGATCGATGCTCATGCTGTTGATCACTGGATTGTCTGGTCCAGACTCGATTATTTACAGACCGCCGCCATATAGCTGGAATATTACTGAGTGCGGCGTAAAACTAAACTCACTCACTCACCACTAGTTTACACACTTTGCCACAGGCCAGACCTGATTGTTGTACAGGCTGCGTGGCAAGGCTGTGTGAGACTTGGATTCTGCCTCGCTTAAGGCTCGTAATAAAGGAATAATCATGTCGGACAAATCTTTTGACGTGTCATATTCCCACAATAATGACATCTTCTCTGAAACGTGAATTTCATATAACATCAGCTGCTTTTATATTTCAAGATGACAGTTGTAGAACCTGACTAATGTAGTACTATTAGATGAGCCACGACCTGACAATTGACCCAATTTGCAGATATGGGAACGCCCTCCAGAACATTCCATTTGAAAAATGAGGGAAACAGGTTGTGGTCTAAACCTTGAAAAGTTCAATTTCCTCGTGCGAATCGTGTTTTCATTGTTATATAGCATGACCAGAAATTATTGAGAATTTTAGGAATATGTTTAATTGGATTTCTAGTATAAACAACCTTGACCAGATATCAAGTGTTTGGTTTCCCAAAGAGAGACAACTCCGTTAATCCTTTTCATTAGTTTGTGGAGAGTTATCCCCCTTTGTTTACTTGCTAGCAGACGACATTTTCAGTGATCCTCAGTATGGATGATTTAGAGAAGAGGAAGTTGATTTTAGAGTATTATAACAAGGACATTAGATAAGCTAAAGTGATTTCAAGTAGAACAGGCATCCCTTTGTCCACTGTTTATCGAGTTTTGAAAAATATTGCAAATGGATATGGCATTTGACACCAGTGAGGCGTAGGTAGGCCCAGAAAATTGACTGTCGGTGACAGGAGGCGGCTTGGTATTCTTGTTTCTAAAAACAAACGACGGAGTTTTGAAAACTTAAGGCTGGGTATGATTGATAGAGGAACTGTGGCTGTCTGAAAGGAGACAATTTGAACTGAGGTGCATGCAATGGGTTGACAGAAAAGTCGAGGAATTCCATCACCATGAAACCTGAAGAAAAGGAGCGAAGGTTGAACTGGTGCTTACAGCATATAAATTTTAAGTAGGGCAATGTGATTTTCCCTTATGAAAGTTCTGTGTGGCGGTTTCCTAATACACTGAAATTCTGGACGAAACCAACTGAAAAACCTTTGCATCAGCGCCCAAAGTACAGTCTGAAATTTAACGTGTGGGGTGGCATATCTGTGTTAGGGGCAACGCCCCTCTGTGTATTGGAAGGGAATGTGAACAGTGAGCGGTACACAGATATTTTCGAGGGACATTAACTTCCATCTACTCACGTGTTCTATGGAAATGTTTGGATTTTCCAGCAGGACAACGACCAAACCCATAATTCTGTGTGGTAAGGAGGAAGACATAGTACATCATGGCCATGTTGTTACAACCTTGTGTATACAGGACCCGATGTGTTGGATTTTGCAAGACACAGCAGTTCGGCTTTGAGCATTTTATCGTCAAATACAATATTGTGCTTTTGTAACCAATCTTTGATATCATCTTTTCTGTTATACGTTGTCCACTTGCTTGTAGTGGTACGGCATTATCCATAACAAAGACGGAGTCGGGTGAAATAGGTGGGATACATTTTTCCTGCAGCCATTTGGAAAAAATATCAAAATTCATCTCGTCCTGATAATCTGCTGAATTAACCTTTGAGTCAAATACAAGTAAAGCATTTGGTACTAAACATTTTTCGGACCCTGCATGAACAACAATAAGCCGAGGTCCGGTACCGGACGGAGGCTGAACCCCATTTATCACAACCTCACCATTTTGGGACAATTTTGTGTACGTGCAACCATGTTTCATGATGATTGTTCGATTTTCATCTCGACATTTTTTTTATTGTACACAAGTATTACATGCGCTTTGCAACGATGTCTTTCGTTCCATTAAAACCTTTCGATTTGACTACGTCTTTCGCCACCTAAACCCCATGTCTTTAAGATTTTTTCGAAAACATTCCTTTGAACCTCGGTAATGCAATTGGCTTTTTACCATATCATGGATCATATCTAGAGTAGGCAGTTGCATTTGTACTCGATATAAGCTGTGTACGAACTGACGGACCGCACACCGGTCAAAATCATCAAGTTTGTGCTTGGAAGTTTTGGGTTTGCGCAACTCGGTTGGACTAATAAAAGTACCCCTATCACCTTCCACTTTAATATGTTTTAAAGTTGCCTTGGAAAGACGTGTAGCAAGGCTACTTTTGAAATAGGGTCTAATTTGGTTGCACACGTCTTTTCCATATAAATAATAATAACATTGTAGGCTCACTCCCTTGCCTGAGAATGAACAATTGGCCCATGCTTACCTAACTTGGACATGTTAAATTAATTGAAATCTGCAAACATTCAAAAATTTACTTGTGTCGAGATGGTGTCTTGCTGAACTAAATCGCTCTACGAGACACCAGTAAATAGAAGCGGTATTAAGTTCACGCCATGGTCAGCATGTATTGCACGTGCTTAATCGCCACTCTACCTGTAGCAACCAAGTGTATTCGTCTAGATTCCCTGCCCCGCCTACTTGTCACAAACGCGTTTACTGCGCAGGGTCATCTAGTACGAGTCAAGCAGTATGCAGTCGTATATATTTCCTCGTCACCCGACTGCTTTTGTTGTTTTTTCATATTGTATCGACTTGTATAGTTAAAATGTTTTTAAAAGTAATTACTAGTTTTTAAATTGATATCTGTGATGTCCTTCGTTTACAGTTTTCTTTATAACTTACCTATACTTATAATACATAGATAACTTGATATAGTCACACAGTATGGCTGGCGCGTTTATATATTGTATTGCTATCATAAATATAATATTTTTACATTTACATGCTCGTTTTAGACACCATCTGTGATACTCTAGTTATTTTACAGTCCTTCGATGACTGATTATCTAACTACTTGTATTTATTGTGTAGGTCAAACTTTTCTCGCCATTATATGGCTGAACTATTGCCGAGCAGACGTTCAATTTTCACTCACTGACGTAGATTAGTAACAATGGTTACTTTAGGGCTGAAAAAAGACACTCACTCACTCCCTCACTCTATTAGCTTTCAAGGAGACTCTCGCATTATGTGGTATTTCGCACAAATTGCTGGAACATTTATATTCCGAGACCGACTGCAGTTTTTTAGAATAAAAAAAAAACTTTCTTGTTGCAGATGAACAGTTTTCAAGCCTTTACATAAGTTTGCAGGGTACGCTCAACTTTGCTTGAACACCTGGTGTCATCACTATTTGATGGTGATACATAAACACGTGGTCTGTCATCGTATCGTATTGTCAATCACTGGATTGTCTGGTTCAGGCTCGATTGTTTACAGACCACGTCGTACAGCTGTAATACAACTGAATGCGGCGTAAAATTCATGGTGTAGTCAGAAAAGTACAATCGACTCTGCACTTCGCAGATTTCTTACTGACGTGGAAAGGGTTTTGTCTATTGTATTTGAATAAATGTTTGATAGTTATGAATAATGACCGATGTTGTCAGAAAGCGATATGATAAAGATGTTATATCCTGAAACTGACAGTTCCGACCTTGCTGCTATGGAATGAGGAAACCGCGGAACAATTTTGTGAACATTTCCATGTTATGTTGTACCACAGCCACACATGTTTACGTACAGTCTGTCCAAGTTTCATAACCTGGCTAAGGCCGCTTCACCATAGGCTGCTCGTCCACTGTGTGTCGGTAGAACTGTAGTACACGGAATTCACGTGGTTGAAACTGACACGACATAGATTGGTCTGGTGGTGTATTGGTGCCTTTTGGTAGTTTGGGATTTCTGAATAAAAACATTGGGGGGGTTCCATGGCAACACTTTTGACAGAACTTTAAAACCTTTCAATACTCTCCTTCCAATTTGCTTTGTACACGCCGAAACATTTGACACGGTCATAACTAGTAGACACATTCATGAAGAGTAATTTATGCCGGGGATTTATTAAATGGCGCTGTGACAACGCAGGAACTATTGTTAGCATGGGTATGGATGACAATAAAGCCCCAGAGTTTGATGGGTTAAGTTAGAAATTATATTTGGCAATTTGGAATGTATTTAGGGATGTTTTGTGTGACTTGTTTTTTCAGGGATTTTTTCTTGACCTCTGTGTGCACTATCCAGGTGGTCCTTGGTGCTGGCCAACACCTCAGGGTATTTCTTCCTTTGTGTCTAAGCAGGGATGCAGGTAGCAAAGGCACTGTAAGTCCATGGTCCCTAGTATGGTGATCTACCTTCAGTTGTTGGCGATCTGTAGCCCATTTTTACATTGTATTGTCCAAACATGCTTTTCTACTTTTAAAGATATATGCTAGCTAGTTTTAACTCAATCTGTGATACTCTAGTAACTTTACTGTTCTTCGTTGACAGGGTTTTATATATTAAATGTATGTATTATGAAATTAGAAATAGTGCCAATGTGACTTTAGGTCCTAGGTCCACAACAGACATCCAGCATCAAACTCATCTATGCTGACGTCTTCTCTCACTCTGAGGACTTCTCCATTATCCGCCAAAAAACCTTATCCGAACACAAGGACAAAGCCCACCCGCAGACTTGGTAAACGAGTGAGTTAATATTTAACGTCACATCGGCAATATTTCAGCCATATCGTGACTAAATCAAGTTTTACATGTATTAACAATGAAAGCTTAATTATAAAACTCTGTCAACGAATGACAGTAAAGCTTTTCGAGGGTGCCTTGTTACATGGAACACAGGAGAAGGGTATTTCCCAGAAGACGCAACTTTCAGGAACCATGGAATCAGATACTGTGGACGACTTTGAGGAAGTTATCAATATGTCAGCGATATTGTGACTAAGACTGTAAATACTTTATAGTTTTAATTTGTATAATCTGTCGCCTAAGTACAGTAAAACAACTCGTATGTCACAGATAGAGATTTAAAACTAGCCTGTAACTGAAAATTATGTACAGTTGAGGGTGAGTGAGTGAGGTCACATCGGCGATATCTCAGCGATATCGTGACGAAAACAATTATACATAGAGAGTTAAAACATTTAGAGGATTAGAAATACTAGAGAATCACATATATAATATAAAACTAGCGAGCAAATTTATAACATCCCAATTAAAGAAGACAATACAGTATACAACACGGGCTACAGATCGCCAACATCTGAAGGTAGATCACCATACTAGGAACCACAGGGACATTACTTTTGCTACCTGCATGGACCCTAGCTGGATTTACACCATCCCTTCAGCCGCTGGAGATTGTAGGAACATTTAGCCATTAGTTAAAATAACAAAAATACTACGATTAAAATGTGGTAAATTTATATTTTACTTTGAAAGTTTTGGGACTTATGTACCAACTCAGGAGGACAATAATGTTACAATACTTGAAACCCCTTTGAGGGTACAGCCACTAATAATCTAACTTACGAATCTAAACTACCAGTTTTTAAAACATAGGTATTTAAACTAGGCTACGGCTCCATTGTTTATGGTGGAGTCTGCAAAAGCAATTTAGAAGAATTAGATTCTATCCACCAAGGCCTGAGGATCTTACCCTCACTAAATTCAAAAAGTCTGAAACAAATCCCTTGGTGTTCCAGCAGGAATACATCCAGTTACGTTCCAAGTAAGACACCCACAGATCCATTTTCACAGACGGATCCAAGGATGAGGGCCAAGTTGCCAGTGCTACAGTCATTGGATCTAAGACTGTCTCCTCTAGGATTCCCGACAACAGTTCCATTTTCACTGCCGAGGCCAAAGCTATCTTTTCAGCTTTGACCTATATTAAACAGCAGAATCATTCCAAAAACTTCATCGTTTTCACAGATTCGTTATTTTGCCTTCAAGCACTCCAAACTGTTACTTCAAGTCACCCAATCATTCTGGACATTTTAGAACTTTACAACGACCTCTCTACTGGTCAATGTGACATCGTCCTCTGCTGGTTGCCGGGTCACGTCGGCATAGCAGGAAACACAAAAGCCGATGCTGCAGCAAAAGCAGCTCTTGACAAGCCCATATCTCCACTGCTGATCCCGTACAGTGATTTCAAACCCACTATCAAAAGCTATACTCAGGACCTGATGCAAAAAAGATGGGACACTCAAGTAGGAAGAAATAAACTGTATGAATTGAAACCAACAATTGGTTATACCTCCTTGGGTTGTCAGTCAAGACATTATGAGGTAATTTTACGACGATGTCGTATTGGTCACAGTCGGTTTACTCATGACTATCTGCTGAAAACGGATGGGGATGGACAACTCTATGTCGAAACGTCGCCTGTGGAGGCGACGTCTCTTGCGATGAGGTTTTCACCATGAAGCATTTTCTGCTTGAATGCGTGGACTTCTCGTCTGCAAGGAACTCACATTATGATGCAACAAACCTGAAAGATCTGTTCTCCCGCCTGAGCGCTCATCTGATACTGAACTACCTGAGGGAAGTTGATCTGTATCATAAATTGTAACTGTGAAATGTAACAACCATAAATTGTAACTATGAAATGTAACCAACCGCCTGCCTTTAAATTTGATGCTATGACTTTTTCTGCTTTTGAATGACAATGTAATAAATAAATGTCTTTGAAATAAAACTCATTCCGAGTATGTACTTACAATATTTACTAATGCAAACTTGTCACTATATGGCTTGAAAAATGGCGATGTGACGTAAAGCTCATTTCAACTCAATGGTGGATAATCATAGTGTTATAGCTAAAATGGACGGAATTTTGGACGGAATTATCATGAAACTGCCCTTTAGTTATTATAAATGCGCGGGCAGCTGCAAATGATAATGACCCGCTGATTCCTCAACATGTGATGTCACGATCCATGACGTCTTAAATCTTGTTTCATGATCTAACAGTGTTGGGTCAACCAAGGACGTATAATTAACGTATATACGTCTTTGGGTCAACAGCTCGTTGCGAGTAAGTTGCTTGAACTTACAATTAAATTTCTTGTACTGTTTTGTCTTTTTTTAACACAAATTCCATCCGTTTTAGCGGGATAGGGGAGTTAATTTACCTAGGGCTTCTGCAAATGACAATATCCTGAAAAACAGCGTAGGGATACATTCAAAGGTTTTGGTGAATCGGTTTTCAAACTGCGACCGTACATGCTGATTGACCAATCAAAAGTCGTGTTACATACTTAGCATAGTTAGAATTCAGACTCCATGTACATGAGGAACACTAAAACCATACTTTTTCTATGGTTACATCTGGTTCCTATTATATAGGAATGTTCGACTGTTATCAACAATAATGGGTACGTAATTCCCAAAACATTCAAAATAATTTAAACTTTCCTTTTTTTAATAGTAGAATATGTGTAATTTTAATTTATGGCTAGATTTTCTAAATTGCTGACAGCTGAAGGGATGATGTAAATCCAGCTAGGGCCTATGCAGGAAGCAAATGTACTGTTAGTTCCCATGGTCCCTAGTATGGTGATCTACCTTCAGTTGTTGGTGATCTATAGCCGTTTTTTATATTGAATTGTCATTTATAGGTAAAATATTATATTTAATTACAATTCTTAAATATATTCCTGTGATAATCTAGCTGCTTTACTGTCCTTCGTAGACAGGTGTTTTATAATGTAATTGTGTTTATTGTTAATTTATAACATTTAAGTCACAATATGGCTGAAATATTGCAGATGTGACCATAAATTTTAACTCACTATCAACAATAATGTTTCTTTTCACAGATTTGACACCAAAATGCAATGTCCACATTAACAACCGCGAGCGAAATCGAAATGCGAGCGAACCGTTACTGTAGAGTAAACATTGCTACCGAAAACGTTTAAATCGATGCAAAATGACTATTATTATAAGAAGAATATAATGAATTTCTTCTGAAACCTACCAGACAAGGACTGTTTCGCTGCCCTGATTTTCCGTTACCCGTGAACAATAATCCTTCTTAATCCTCTGTAATAACTTTGTGTGGGTAAGTGAGAATGAATCTTCTAAACTAAGCGGAAACTCTCACTGTCTGTTTCCGGATACTGATACCTAGCGGAAACCTACATTACCCAGTATCCATTGTGTTCCACAAGAACGGAAACTAAGCTATGTTTGCTGTGGTATGAATAAGTGAAAACATCAGAATAAGTTATGCTCTTATGATTCCGTCATCTGAAGGGGTTTGGGTTGTGTCTCCAAAACAAGATATTTCAGCAAACATGAAGTGGGGAGTCACTTTAGCAAGCGATTGTAGTTTCAGGTCACATGAATTTCAAGGTCATCCATGGCCGACACGTGAGTATGAGTGAAGATGGTTTTGGTGAAAATTCCTGCTTACTGTCGAGAAAAGGATAGGTAGATGTTGCAATAAGTTTTTATACCCGTGGAATATGGCTGCCGATGGAATCTAGCGCTACAGAGGTGCTGTCAACGTGGCTGGAATTAATAAATGACTTAAACATGAGATCCCTTTCCTTTTATATAGTAATAGGGGTAGGGTCTATACACCTATATGTCTTTCTAACGCTGTTTCTAAGCGAGTCACTTCCCTATGAGTAGGAAGTGGCAGCTTAATGGAATAACTCAGGGTTTGACAACCTGTTTTACCCTCAAGGCGTGGGGCGTTGTACTGTCAATCACTGGATTGCCTGGTCCCGGAGCGACTTTTGTGTTCTTTATGCACTTTTGGAATGTTAATGAGAGCTTCCTATATTGTTTCATGCTATTTGGGGCACGTATCATAGCTGTGAATTTTGTCCGTAAATTTGCAAATTCTGTTAACTAGTAAGGAGTACTGGCCGCTATTCAAAATATAAATATTGCAGGTTTGTCATAAATTTGACCCTAGTTTTGGATAATTTAATTTTATATCATCACACTAAACAGAATTTCCAAAATCATAGCGATTTGTCGATACGATAAATCAAGATAAGTCTGAATACATATATTTATCCGCAATAGAGTTTGAATATTGCTGAGTGTGGCATTGAACAACAACATATATTTATCTGCATGCATCATTTCCAAGGAGCTTCAAAACCCAAATTTCACAGTCAGAGTATTCCTAAAAGAAAGAAAGTGGGGACATGCATCAATATACGTCAGGAGTAAAGACGTTACAACCCATGGCTCACTTTCACAAAGCGATCTTAGCGCTACAATGATTGTAACTCCCATTCTCCAACATAGACTTAAGATAGTTGTAGCGCTAAGATCGCTTTGGCCCTGATGTGTCGAAAACTGTGTGCCGAGTCATTTTCCACCACGTGAAGTCCGTGCTGTACCGTCGCTCCGACTTACGACGGATGACACGCTGAGGATGAAGCGGCCTTAGCCAGGTTATATAACTTGGACAAACTGTACACAGGTGCGGTGGCCGATGAGGCTGTGGTACCGATGTGGATTCGAAAGTGTTCACAAGCTGTTCAAAAATTGATTGCCTAGGTAGTGAGTTAAAATTCAAAGTCACATCGACAGTATTTCAGCCGTATCGTGACTATGAAGTATATTAAATGATTAGACAATACAAACATCTGTCAACGAAGTAAGCAAAATAATCACACATGTAATCTTAAAACAGTAATTTGTGTTCTTTGACATGAGTGGTGCTTGTGGAATCCCATGGCCAGTAGTGTCAGTCAGGATGTCTGGTCCAGATTCGATTGTTTAAAAACCTGCGTCATACAGCTGGAATATTGCATCAAAAAAACAGTGCGCGAGTATACAGGGTGTGGCAGGGTGTCTGACGTCTAACAGGCAGGCCTGCATCAGATTTGGGTTTTCACAAGACTCGGGTACGTTCAGACATTGGCGATTGTGCTTAGATTTAGCTACAAATTATCACAATTTTCATGGAACGTTTGTTGTTTTACTTACCCTCTAAGGAGTAGAATAATCTTTGTTGCTAATCTTAGACTATCAATTATAAATTAACATATGTCTATTTACAAAACATATTAATCACGATTTTCCAAGCACTTCTATTTCTTTAAAAAATAAATACTTCAACGAAAACGGACATTTATTTATCAAAAGGTCTTTAATGGCTAAAGCTGTCTCTATTGACCACATACAGCTGTAACTTACATAATGTTACATAATGCATTTGCTGAACTGTGCCCGACTAACCTTAATAGGCATACATTTCTACAGGGTTCAGTCACAACAACCACTTTCATTGTTTATATGGCTGATCATCATATTAGACCATGGGGACTGTTTTATTTGTTGTGCTACCTGCATGGACCCTAGATGAATATATATGCAAATTTAGCCAAAATTAAGATGACGAAAATACTACCTTAAAAAAAACCAGGTAAAATTAAAGTTCCTTTAAATGTTGCGGTATAACTTATGACGTAGTAGGTGTATTATTTTCATCTTCAGGCTATAATATAATGTGGTGGCATCTTGAAATATGTACCAAAGTTGATCAATGGTGTCTATTGTATTTTGCCCGATCTAGAGGCAAGTGAGGCCCAGCGCACTGGCAACACAAGTATGGTTGAAAAGGGTATAACTTATGGTGTTATATGTGTATTATTTTCATTTCCAGGCTAGTTATTATGTGGTGGCATCTTGATCCATGTGAACAAATGATTATTAGATTTTAGATTTTAGCGCACAGGCAATAAAATTATTGCTTGACATGATATAACTTGTGAAGTTATAAGTGTGTTATGTTTATCTTTAGGCTAGTTATAATAACACAGTGTCTTTTGGTGTGTACCCAAAATCAGTATTGTGTCTACTATTTCGCACTTAGCGTAAATCGTGAAATGAGACAATTTTAGCTCAATGAGAGGGAAATCATTTACAGCTCATTGGCAATAGTTGTATCGCTGAAAAAGTTAAAACTTAGGTTATGATGTATTATTTTCATCATAAGACTAGTTTTAATGTCATAGTTTCGTTGGATGTGTACAATTTTTTTTATGTCTTTTCAAGGCAAGT